AAAGAACATCAGTAAAAGTAGAAATACTTTGTATGCAAAAGAAGTCCAGGTGTATAACTTCTCATCTCTACAGAGGAACTGGAAAAATAACTTCTTGCATATATAGCTACTGGCAGTCCAAAGAAATAAAGTAAAGCTACGGTAAAGAAGTCCCTGTGGATTTTACTCCGCTAGATGTTGCCGACAGTAGGGGTGGAGCTTATCTCAGTTTCAAGGCCAGTGAGCGCTGTCTGAAGACATTTCCATGGTAATCACAGAGTGTTGGTAACTTTCCTCCAAAGTACTCGCATTCCCATGCTTTCGAACTGCTAGGTGGGCAGGAGTTAGAGCAAAGATGGGAACTCACCCCATCATGTGGTGCTCGGGTCTCGAACGTGAGCTACCTGCTTTCCAGCCAACAAGCTCAGCATCTTAACCACGGACCCATCACGTGCCACCCATATTCAAAGAAATATATAACACTGATTAAGGTAAAGGTAAACATCCCCCTCGCACATATGTGCTCGTCATTCCTGACTCTAAGGGGCGGTGCTAATTTCCGTTTCAAAGCCAGCGCTGAAGACGTCTCCGTGATCATGTGGCCGGCAAGACTAAACGCCAAAGGCACAAGGAACGCTGTTACCTTCCCACCAAAGTGATCCCTATTTTTCTACTTGCATTTCTACATGCTTTTGAACTGCTAGGTTCGCAGAAACTGGGACACGTATCGGGAGTTCACTCTGTTACATGGTGCTAGGGATTCAAACCACCGAACTTTCTGATCAACAAACTCAGTGTCTTAGCCATTAAGCCACCGCGCCCCTACAACCCTACAATTAGGTGTCTTAAATTCTTAAGAGTCTATTTGCTTTTCAATTTTTTCTGACAGGCACTTGTAGTAAATAGCATTAACTTTATAGCCATATCTGAACAGAGGTTCAACACAAACAGCACCTATCTTATTCTACCAGACTATCCCTTATTTTTTTTGTCCTATGGCCCTTATTTTGCATCTTTTCCTTTAGAAATAATGCAAAAATAGCTGTTTTCCATCATAATATCTTGTGTACTTTTAACTCTGCCTATAGTCAAATTCATTAAAGTGTATTTATCTGTTCATGCTTTGCCAATTCTACTGAAAAGGCAGTTTAGTCACACACCTTTTCTGCCTGATTAAACTTCAAAGTCTGACAAACTGTTGAAGTTAAGAGATAAGGCTGGCACCTTCTGAAATGTTTTCAGCCCTAAAGTGACAACAGTCGATGCTTTTCTTTCCCCCCTTCTTCACCAAAGTGTGATAAACACCTGTAGATATTTATGATGCGGTATCAGGGTAACCTTCTCCTGACAAATAAATAACGACAGAAAAAGAAATAGGAAAGGTTTCCAGAGAAATGGGTACAATAAATAAGTAATGGGTCAGCTTTTCATTATCAAGAAACACCGTATTCTTTAAAATTGGCTCTTTTCTGCCTGGGAGGCATTCCATTATGACCCAGTGATCACAGTAATTTATTTTGAACTACAAATGCTTTCCAGGTCTACAAATAAACACCAGATAAGAGGGGACGGAAGAAAAAGCATGTTGAAGAGTGCTGCTGTTTCTGACAAATTGCACTTTTGAGCACTACCTCTGAGAGGTTACCGCTTCATTTTCAACTCCCAGCAAACAGGAAAATTATCAGAGCATATTCTTGAGATTACTGAAGCAGCTCTATAATTATGGATTTTTCCTGATTATAACACCCCAGCTAGCAATCTGATGCATTTGCTGAGAATTTTCATTGTGTTTGAAAAGTTCTCTTTTAAAAGGTTGCACTTATCCGAGTTTTATAGGAGCACAGTGTTGCTACTCAGGTAACATTAAACACCTAGAAGAACCTGTGGAAGCGTAGAAGAACGCTGGAAATGATTACAGAGGATGACACTGAAACTTTAATGATCTGCATCCCCACAGCATTTCTCCAATCCCTTTTAAAACGTCTTTGTCTTTTTCCTGGCCCAATGCTTGCAATTAAAATGTACAATTTCCATTAATACAGGAAAACTAATTAGCACTGTTCAATTACTGGATTGTTGCAGCATCTGGAATTATGAACAATTCAGAGGCAATGGACAGAGATAGACAAGACTTTGGATTTGGGAGGCATGAGACTCACTAATAGCCCACAAAAGTCACACTTTCTCTGCTGTGATTTTGTTCCCTCAATTAGGTTAGAAATAAAAACATGTTATTGCACATCGTTTTCGTGAAAGTCAATAATGAATTCTGAACTGCACTTGGGAAGTGGAGCATTAAGTAAAAATGGGAATTCATAATGTATTACAGCTGGTGTCAAATATTTTGTTCTAAAGGAAAAAAATGTCTTTGTCTTTATCGTTAACATGGAAAGGGTGGAAAGTTACCAATACAGCTAGTCCTCGACTTACAACCACAATTGAGCATAAACTTTCTATTGTTAAGCAAGACAGGTAAGTGTTAAGTGAGTTTCGCCTGCATTTTTACAACCTTTCTTGCCAAGTGAATCGCTGCATCGACTTTAAATGAATCTGGTTTTCCCCTTTGCTTATCAGAAGATCTCAAAATGTGATCACATGACTCTGGGACACTGCAGCCATCATCAATACAGTTGCCAAGTGTCCTTGTTTTGATCACGTGGTCATAGGGATTCAGTTACTTTCCCTGCCAGTTCGCAAATGTGAGCGTGCACCTTCTGTGCATGCACAGTACTTGCTCATTACGTTGGGGCGGGTGGGCCAAGCCTCCCACAGCCGCCACTACCAGTTCACCCGGACCAGAGAGAAACCGGCTGAATACCACCTCTGATAGGGATACTACAACAGTAATAAGTATGAAAAAGAAATGTTACAACAGCACTGAAAAAAAATTATCATTGTTATGATAGGTTACTGAGAAACTGAAGAGGACAATATTTGAAATATATGGAAGCAGCAACACATACATGCAATCCCATATATTCAAGGGAAGATGAACCTTAGAACCTATTCTGGCTTTACAATTGTAAACCAGGATA